CGAGGACTCAAAGGTAGGGTCAGTGACAACAGTAGCGAGGAGACGCGTGACAGTAGGGTGCTCAGCACGATACCGGTCAGACTCAGGGGCCGGAACGTCAGGCAAAGAGGACGCAGGAGGAGACGGTAGAGGGACACGCTGAGGAGCAGTAGAGGGACGCAGAGTCATGTAGTGAGTGCCTGGGACAGGAGGAGGACGCTCACGACGGACACGACTACCAGTGCGAGCAGGACGAACAGGCGACGCAGGACGAGACTCAGGCTCACGACGCTCTGTAAGACCTCCTGTGGGACCAGTGTAAGGAGAGGGAGCAGGGAGAGGCGAGGTAGGCGGTAACAGTGACTGCGGCTGGACAGGCGGAGGACACTCTACGGAGGGAGGAGGACAAGGAGGAGGAGCCTGCCCAAGAACCTGCTGAAGGAGCGGTACGAAGTACGGTCGCGGCCGCGCAGCGTCTCCAGAAGCAGAAGAGACTCCAGCGGCCGGGTCCTCAGTACCAGTAGGAGCTCCAGCGTCCGGGTCCACAGCACCAGCAGCAGCTCCACCGGCCGGGTCCTCAGCACCAGTAGTAGCTCCAACGCCCGGGTCCTCAGCAGCAGCAGCAGCGCCACCGCTCGGGTCCTCAACTCCTTCAGCAGCTCCAACGTCCGAGTCCTCAGCACCAGCAGCAGCTCCACCGCCCGGGTCCTCAGCACCAGTAGAAGCTCCAACGTCCGGGTCCTCAGCACCAGCAGCAGCGCCACCGCCCGGGTCCTCAGCTCCAGTAGCAGCTCCAACGTCCGAGTCCTCAGCACCAGCAGCAGCTCCACCAGGCGGGTCCGCAGCACCAGCAGCAGCTCCAACGTCCGGGTCCTCAGCACCAGCAGCAGCGCCACCCCCAGGGTCCGCAGCACCAGGAGCACCACTCCGAAGACTGCAGCGCCGTGTGTACCACTCGCGGATCTGCTGAATGGGGGGGAGCTCCCGGGTAGGAGGGGAAGTACCGGGACGAGCTCCAGCAGCACCTCTCCGGAGGCGGCAGTACTCGAGGTACCTCTCCTGCAGCTGCTGGGAGGAGAGGGCTCCTCCAGGTGTAGCACGCTCAGGCTCAGCACCCCCGGACTCAGCACCCCCAGACTCAGCACCCCCAGGCTCAGCACCTCCAGGCTCCGCACCTCCAGGCTCCGCACCCCCAGACTCAGCACTCCCAGGCTCAGCACCCCCAGACCCAGCACCCCCAGGCTCAGCACCCCTAGCAGGACGAGAGTCAACAGCTACCTCGACAGGCTCACCCGGGTCTACCTGGGACACACCTGAGGGAGCGGCACCCTGAGGGGGGAGGGGGTCTGGTACCTCAGCACCTGGAGCGAGGAAGAGAGGTGGGGGGGGGAGCGGGGCAGTGCGGTAGGGGAAGAGGCGGTAGTAGGGGACGGACTCGTCAAAAGTGACGTCCTGAGAGGCCAGGACACGACGCGAGGTGGGGTGGTAGAACTGCCAGCCAGGGGCGTCCGGGACAAAGCCAAGGAAGACGCAGGGGACAGCACGACGGGAGAGCTTGTCCGCGGACGTGTCGCGGACAAAAGCTCGGGATCCCCAGACCCGAAAACGCGACGCATCGCCAGCCTCTCCCGTCCAACGCAGTGTCGGAGAAGTCTCGGGCAAGGAGACACGGGGCTAGAGGTTGAGCTGATGCGCAGCGTATCGGACTGCAAACGGCCACAGAAAATGGGGGGCATCCGCATGGCTCAAAGAGGTACGAGCGACCTCCATGACCAGACCAATGCGGCGCTCAGCAACCCCATTCTGCTGTGGAGAGGCCGGAAGCGTGTACGACTGCTCAATGCCCTCCTGCTGACAGAAGGCCTCCAAGAGGCCAGAGGTAAACTCCCCACCTCTGTCAGAGTGCAGACGCAGGACAGGGAAGTCGGAGCGGAAACGCTCACTGAGCTGGAGATGAGATCTGCGGATCCAGGGGATCAATACATCAGGGACGTCACCCTTGGCGCGCAAGGGGAAGACCGTGGTGAAGCGCGAGAAGTCGTCAACAACAATCAGGAAGTACCTCTCCTGACCCTGGCCACGGACGCGGGCTGGGCCCCACACGTCCAAGTGGAGCGTCTGCAAAGGAGCAGTCGTCGGGGGAAAGGAGGAGGAGTGAGGAGCGGCGCGCTGCCGCCCCTCGACACAGGGAATACAGGGAGGAGCAGGCGAGTCTGGAAGGGGAGGGAGTACCCTGGGAAGACCAGCAACAAGGTCCCGTTTGTGCATGGCCCGAAGGCGCTGCACAGACGGGTGACCAAGGCGGTGGTGCCAAAGGACAGTCTCATGCGCCAGAGAGCGACACGAGCAAGGGGCGGACAGCTGACCTGACGCAGACGCAGACGCGGACGCAGCTACCTGAGGGGACTCAGTGGTCAGTGTGTAAAGGTCCGACCCCGGCTCCCGAGTGAAGGTAGCCAGGTGGCGACCCGTCCGAGCACACGTGCAGTGTGTCACGCGCTCGTAGGCGGGGGTGAACTGGTGAACACCCCCGTCCTGGAGCGCACTACCTGCCACCAAGTTCGTAGAGAACGAGGGGAGGTAGAGACCTGATAGCGTGCCGGACGGGACCGCTGGACAAGGAAGGACAGTGGAGGAGGTCGCAATGACCGGACCCCCAGAGGGGTCAGCAAGGGAGACAGCAACTGGCCGAGCGAGTGGCTCAAGGACAGTGCGGTCACGAAAGAAGGAGCGAGAAGCACCTGAGTCCAGTGTGAAGGTGTGCAGTGCTGTAGTCGACTCAGTACCAGGGGGCACGGACGCACTAGCACCTAGGGCTGCAGCCTCACCAGGACCTGAGGGAGCAGACTCACTAGCACCTAGAGCGGCAGCCGGACTGGCCTGAATGCCCGGGTCGGGCGGAACACGCAAGTACTGAGCACCCTCTCCACTAATAGACATCGCATACATGGCAGTGAGAATAGCATCAAAGTCTAAAGCCCAAATATCAACACCCCTCTTTTCCAGATCAGCCCAGCGCGGCAGCTCAGTGGCAGCAGGAAACTGAGTGCGCCACGCGTCGGTAAGGCGCGCGAAGCAGCGCTGCGTGGGGTGCGGCCTCCCACACTGCTGGCCGCTGCGGTCACCTGTGCGAATGACGTACGTGCAGGTAAAGCCACGCTGCGCATACCACTCACGGGCGGCCTGAAGCGTCGGGGCGGGCTGCTGACTCTGCCCTCCGCCAGTGCCTCCACGACCACCACCCCCACCGCCGCCGCCCCGGCCACCTCCACCCCTGCCGCCGCCACGACCACCTCCGCCTCCGCTGCCGCCTCCGCCACCACTCCCACCGCTGCTGTCTCCTCCCCCACTGCCGCCACTAGTCTCCCCAGCCGCGCCTCCACTCCCACCGCCTCCACCCCCACCTCCTCCGCCGCCACCCCCACCCCTGCCCCCCTTGTTCCTGCGGCGCCCGCTCGAAGCAGACGCGGTCCCGACCTTCTCAGCACCAAGAAGGTCGACAGCAGCAGCAGAGGCGACAGAGGGGAGGAGGGGGGAAGGGGAACACCCCTCAAAGAACGGGGTGCGGGGGTCGCCACGAGAGGTGCCTACAGCGACGATGCTCGCCTCAGCTGCAAGCAGTTCCTTCTCGAGGAGGGCAACAGTGAGCTCAGTGGGGGAGCGAGAGAGGAAGTGGTCCCTGACTGCGCGCAGAGAGTCAGGGAGGCGGGTGACGATGTGGTAGAGAGTGATCCAGAGCGGGGGGGGGTTGCTAGTGAGAAACTCGGCAGGCATAGCAGCGCGAAAGCGGGCCTCACTAGTCTTAAGGTGGGTGATGAGGTCTGCGACAGTGTGAAAGGAGGCTAGGTCGGGGAACAGGTAGGGGAGAGTGAGGCGGCCTAGCGTGGCAGAAGCGGGTGAGGAGTAGCGGGCAACTACAGCGGTGTAGAGGTCCTTAGCAGTCTTGCACTGGCCGAAGTGCTCGCGCTCGTCTAGCGGCAGGGAGTTGCGAATAGCAAAGCGAGCGTGCGCATCACGGGTCTGCCACTGGGAACGCAGAGTGCTGTCAGCAGTCGAGTCAGGGGCAGTGGCATGGCCTAGGGCGTGGTCGTACAGTGAGATATCTTCCTTGGCAGTGAGCTGTAGGAACAGGTGCAGGTCATCTAGCCAGGTTTCGAACTTCACTGGACGGCCCTCGGCATCGAAAGCTAGAACTGGAGGACTAGCCATAGTGACAGTAGCAGTAGCAGTAGTAGCAGTAGTAACAGTAGTAGTAGGAATCAGGCCGCTGGAAAGGTGTGCGGAGGGTCAACAGTCCGTAGTGGCACACGAGCGGCAGTAGTAGGTAGCGTGGCAGCAGGAGCTGCAACGGCGCACTGGTGGCAGCTGCAGTGGCAGCAGTGTGCGCGGTAGGTAGAAAATAAACAACAGTGAGAGCGAGTGCCTCGCGGGCGGCGGCTGCAGAAGCGCACGGGCGGCAGCGGCGCACGGGCAGCGGCAGCGCACGGGCAGCGGCAGCGTAGGGGCAGCGACGGCGCACGGGCAGCGGCGGCGCACAGGCAGCGGCGGCGCTCGGGAGGCAGCGGTGCGCAAGCAGCAGCGGAAGCAGCGGCGTACGAGCGGCTGCGGGCAGCGGGGCGTGCGCGAGCAGGCGACGGGCGGCTGCGGGCGGGCGGCCGCTGCGACGGCGGGCTGCGGGCCTGCGGGGCGTGCGCGAGCAGGCGACGGGCGGCTGCGGGGCGTGCGCGAGCAGGCTACGAGCGGCTGCGGGGCGTGCGCTAGCAGGCGACGGGCGGCTGCGGGGCGTGCGCGAGTAGGCGACGGGCCGCGCGCGAGGGAAATAAGGCGCGCGCGGGCAGCAGGCGGGGCGCACGTATGAAAACGACCGCGCGCGAGCGGCTAAGGGGCGGCGCGACGGGGCCTTAAGGGGCGGGTCGTGGGTCGCGGGATGTAGGGGCCGTTAAAAAAATTCGAGGCGCCCTAGGTAGGTAGGTAGGTAGGTAGGTAGGTAGGGAACGGTGGGCCCTTAAAAAAAAACGGTCCTAGCGAAGGACCTGCTCTGAAACCATGTCAACGAGAACGGACTGGAATGATGAACTAGCAAGGATTGTGAGTACAAATATGAAACCCTAATGTTGTGACCCCCCTATAGGCTAACCCACTACAGCCTACACAAATACAACATGTATAATGTTTGACAGGCTCAGCACCCCCAGGCTCAGCACCCCCAGCAGTACCACCCGCAGCAGCACCTGAGTCACCTGTGACCTCGACAGGCTCAGCGACGGGAGGAGGGTCTACCTGAGAGACACCTGAAGGAGCAGGACCCTGAGGGGGAAGGGGGTCTACCGGAGGGGGACCTGGAGCGAGGAAAAGCGGCGGGGGAGGGAGGGGGGCAGTGCGGTAGGGGAAGAGTCGGTAAAAGGGCTCCGTCTCGTCAAAGGTGACGTCCTGAGACGCAAAGACACGGCGCGAGGTGGGGTGGTAAAACTGCCAGCCAGGCGCGTCAGGGACAAAGCCAAGGAAGACGCAGGGAACGGCACGGGAGGAGAGCTTGTCCGCGGACGTATCGCGAACAAGGGCTCGGCATCCCCAGACACGGAACACCGACGCATCGCCAACCTCCCCCGTCCAACGCAGTGTGGGCGAGGTCTCCGGAGCAGAGACACGGGGCCAAAGGTTGAGCTGATGCGCAGCGTACCGCACTGCAAACGGCCACAGGAAATGGGGGGCAGCTGCATGGATCAAGGAGGTACGAGCGACCTCCATGACTAAACCAATGCGACGCTCAGCAACCCCATTCTGCTGTGGGGAGTCCGGAAGAGTGAAAGTCTGGCGGATGCCGTGCTCCGCACAGTAGGCAGCCAGGAGGGCGGAGGAAAACTCACCACCCCTGTCAGAGTGCAGACGCAGGACGGGAAAGTCCGACTGGAACCGCTCGCGGAGCTGGAGACGAGCAGCGCGGATCCAAGGGATCAAAACATCAGGGACCTCACCCTTGGTGCGCAAAGGGAAGACCGTGGTGTAGCGCGAGTAGTCGTCGACGACCAGCAGGAAGTACCGCTCGTGGCCCTGTCCCCGGACGCGGGCTGGGCCCCACACGTCCAGGTGAAGAGTCTGCAAAGGAGCCTCTGTGGGAGGAAACGAGGAGGAGTGAGGGGTGGCGCGCTGCCGCCCCTCGACACAGGGAAGACAGGGAGGAGCAGGCGAGGGTGGGAGGGGAGGGAGAACTCTGGGAAGACCAGAGACAAGGTAACGGGAGTGCATGCCACGAAGGCGCTGCACAGAGGGGTGACCAAGGCGGTGGTGCCAGAGGACGGTCTGGTGCGACAGGGAGCGACACGAGCAGGGAGCCGACAGCTGACCTGACGCAGACGCAGACGCAGCTACCTGAGGGGACTCAGTGGTCAGTGTGTACAGGTCGGACCCCGGCTGCCGAGTGAAGGTAGCCAGGTGGCGACCCGTCCGAGCACACGTACAGTGGGTCACTCGCTCATAGGCAGGGGTGAACTGGTGAACACCCCCGTCCTGGAGAGCAGAGCCCGCCACCAAGTTCGTAGAGAACGAGGGGAGGTAAAGACCCGACAAAGTGCCAGACGGGGCCGCAGGACAAGGGAGGACAGTGGAGGAGGTCGCAAGGACCGGGCCCCCAGAGGGGTCAGCAAGGGAGACAGCAACAGGCCGAGCGAGTGGCTCAAGGACTGTGCGGTCACGAAAGAAACAGCGGGAAGCACCTGAGTCCAGGGTGAAGGTGTGCAGTGCTGTAGCAGACTCAGTACCAGCAGACGCAGACGCACTAGCACCTAGCGCAGCAGCCATACCAGTACCAATACCTGGGTCAGGCGGCACACTCAGGTAACAGTCACCCTCAGCACTAATAGTCAATGCATACATGGCAGCAAGGATAGCATCATAATCAAGAGCAAAGATATCAATTCCCTTCCTAAGCAGATCAGCCCAGCGAGGCAGCTCAGAGGCGTCAGGGAACTGCTCGCGCCAGGCGTCATCGAGGCGAGAGAAGCAGCGCTGTGTCGGGTGGAACCTCCCACAAGTCTGGCCAGCGCGATCACCTGTGCGGATGACGTACGAGCAAATGCCCCCACCCCCAGACCCCCCACGCTGAGAGTACCACTCACGAAGCTGCTGGGGCGAGGGAGTCTCGCCAGGACGCTGCTGCGGCTGCCTCGGACCACCTCCGAACCCCCCACGCTGCACCGCTCCACCGCGCCCGCCACTCGCTCCACCACCGCCAGTACCACCACCACCTCCTCCCCCACCCCTACCCCCACCACCGCCGCCGCCGCCACCACCCCCTGCGCCTCCACTGGCCCCCCCACCACCCGCGCCACTCCCACTTCCGCCACCACCCCCGCCCCCCCCACCCCCTCCACCGCCGCCGCCCCCACCGCCACCTCCACCACCCCGGCCCCCCTTGCCTTTGCCGCTCTTGCGCCGCCCACTGGGAGCAGACGCAGTCCCGACTCCCTCAGCACCGAGGTAGTCGACAGCAGCAGCAGATGCAATGGATGGGAGGAGGGGGGAGGGGGAGCACCCTTCAAAGAAGGGGGTGCGGGGGAGGCACCTACAGCTACAATACTCTTCTCAGCTGCTAGGAGTTCCTTCTCGAGGAGGTCGACAGTGAGGTCAGTGGGGGAGAGAGCGAGAAACTGGTCCCTGACAGTGCGAAGGGAGTCAGGGAGGCGGGTGACAAGGTGGTACAGTGTGAGGTACATCGGGGGGGGGTTCTTGGCGAGGAAATCGGGGGGGAGCGCGGCACGGTAGCGGAGGTCACTGGTACGGAGGTGGGTGATGAGGTCAGCGACAGTGGCAAAGGCGGACAGGTCGGGAAAGAGGTAGGGCAGTGAGAGACGGCCTATAGTAGCAGTGGCAGGGGAGGAGTAGCGCGCGACTATAGCGTCGTACAGTTCCTTGGCGGTCTTATGCTGGCCAAAATGCTCGCGCTCATCTAACGGCAGGTGGCTGCGAACGGCTAGGCGAGCGTGAGCGTCACGGGTCTGCCACTGCGAGCGCAAGGTGCTATCAGCATCGGCGGCAGGGGCGGGAGCGGCGCCGGACGTGTGGTCATAAAGAGAAATATCGTCCTTGGCGGTGATCTGAAGGTAGAGGTGAAGGTCATCGAGCCAAACATCGAACTTAATAGGACGACCCTCAGCGTCAAAGGTAAGCACAGTAGGACTGGCCATAGTAGCAGTAGCAGGAGGAGGAACAGTAGCAGCAGGAGCAGTAGCAGTAGGAGCAGTAGCAGGAACAGTAGATGCTGCAGGTGGGGCACAGTAGGGCGGCGCGGCTTGATCTAGGCGGCGCGGCTCGGTCCAGGCGGCGCGGCTCAGTCAGGGCGGCGCGGCTCAGTGAGGGCGGCGCGGCTAGGTCTGGGGTGCGCGGTGCGCTTGGACAGGCAGGGCGACGCGACGGGGAGCCTGGGCGGCCGCGGCAGCTGTGCGCGGGCAGCAGTTGCGCACGGGCGGCGGTCTGCAGCAACGACGCGGCGCGCGTCAGAAATAGGCCGCGCGCGGGCGGCTAGCGGGCTGCGCGGGCAAAAAACGGGCCGCGCGGGCGGCTAGCGGGCTGCGCGGGCAAAAAACGGGCCGCGCGCTGGCGGCTAGCGGGCGACGCGGCAGCAAAGCGGGGCGCTCGAGGGCGCCCTAGGAGCGAGGCGCACGAGGGCGCTACTAGCGGAACGGTGGGCCCGTAGGAACAGTCGGTCCTAGGTTCCTAACCTAGGCTCGTAATACCATGTTAAAATGAGAAGTTGTGTTCACTATGAGAAGTTGGGAGTACAAATACAAAACCCTAGAATTGTGTACCCCCTAGAGGCTAACCCACTGTAGCCTACACAACAACAACACAAGAATAATGTTTGACAGGGTGGGGGGGGAGGGGGGGTGTTCTTGTTCCCGGGAATTTTTTTCCCCGTGAATTTTTTATCCCCGTGTCTTTTTCTAGCCTTTGACAGTTCCGAATCCGATCCCCTGCAATGCACCAGCCAAACCCAACGCACGATTCCGTAGATAGTTCCGATCATCTCCTTGTGTGCCATGCATGCACCCCTCCAGTGTTTCTGTTAGAGTAGCAGTGGTGGTCTCTGGTCTAGTCTGGTGGTGTTCTCTACCCTGGATTAGTTATCGGTAACAAGAATATGACAATGCTGGTGCCACTAGAAAGGTTAAAAACAGAACCCTGAACACTCGTATTTTTGCCCTGACAGGCCACGATAAATTTCTGCTGAAGCCCTGAAACTACAGGAAGCCTCTGAAAGTTTGCCCTGACAAATCAGGGCATTTTTTCAGATTCTGGAAAGTTGCCCTGAGGCCTTAGGATGCCCCAAAACCTAGCACGGGCCCTGATACTCTTAAACGAGTGATTCCTTGCGTATATCATATAGCATACTCATTGAGTATCAACATGTCTCTGAATTTTAATGGGAAAAGAGGTTGCACATAGCGAATCATCCCCTCCACCTCCATCACTTCCGTTGCATCGGGACGCCTCGTCCTTCGCCAATGCAGCACTAGAAATTCGCGCGCGATTCGCTTGCGAGTGGCAAGAACGCTGCTGCTGACGTGGTTTGTACATCGCGCTTCGTCCCATCTTCGATTCATTTCGAGGACAACTTTCCTTTTCGTCTCCGCGCATTTCCCCCAATCCAATCACTGGATTTGCCACCCAGAGGAGTGTGTTCACCTTTTTGCGCTTGGTGCTCGTTCACCATCACACCTCGAGAAGGGAAACCAGCGAGTTGTAGCTAAGCGTAATCTCCTTACAACCAAGATGAGTGCAAGCAGCAGGGTGGCGCCATGTATTTGTAGGGCATGGCGTGATGGACAGAGACAACTGAAAGCAATTCGAGTAGATACAAAAAATGCTCACGGATCATATCGCTAGTTAGCAGGGCAGCAAAAGTGCTTTCGAGAAGTTCTTTCCACGTTACTGTAGTGGCGCACCAGGTAACAGCACCCTAAAAGACGACACGCAAAGCCATCCTCGGTTCGTTATCGGCGATCTTTCATTGTGGCCAGCTTGCCGCAAGCAAACAATGTCAAACGTTCACATCACAAACGCTGTAACAATCTCCACTCCACACTCTAAAGCACTTCCACCCCCCTCCGTCTAAGCCGCTTACCTCGATCACACCTCACTCACACCGCAACTCACCTGTCCCTCGCCTCGCCTCTCCCGGAGGTGGTAAATCGCTCCCAGTTCCCTCGCTCATGCGCGGGACGATTGTTAGCCCTCTTCAACTGTCGAATGTCCCCCAACCTGCGCCCGCGCACCGCGCATCCTTCCAGCGGAAGGGCTTCCCCCAGCATTGTTGAGGTGGTAACAAGCACGGTAGTGTACATGCCACCACGAACTGTAGCACACGGCGCAGCGTGCATTGCGAACAGCACTGAACGGGTTACAGAAAGTTGCCGAAGCTGCTGCTTGGCTCCCCGACCGTTCCAAATGCTCACGATCACGACTTCGCACACGAATCACTTGTCTCTCCGATCGACGTCCCAAGGCCTTCCAGAACCTCCGCCTCATCGGCGCGTTCCGCTCGACCGTCGACAGCCTGTGGTACGCTCTCCGCGCGCTTGTTGCTTCCTGGCTTTACAGCAATGCGAAAGGTCGAATAGCGGCGAATCACGCCAATCAGCCTGCGCCAGGTGGCGCTACTTACGTCAGATCATCTCCACCTCCCTGCCTTTCGCCTCACCTTTTCTTTCCCGAACCCTCTTGGCTGTTTCCGTGAATGCACAGTCAACTTGGCTGGCATTCCTTGTCCACGAAGATCTAATATCCCGCCGCATTTGCGCAACATAAACGGCGAATTCGGCCACTCAAAGATATTTCGACTTCGCGCTCCGTCCTCCGCAACGTTCCGCAATCTCGGGCTCTCTCACTCCTGCCCATCCCCCCCCCTGTCCATTGGCCTAGTGTGCAGCAGCAGGGCTTCCCCCCATCGGCACGGGCAGCAGCATTGAGAGCACGTGAAGCGCCAGCAGTGGCCGCCACAGCGAGCAAAGCCGCACAGAAAGCGAGATAGGAAAAGAAGCAATATCACGCGGAGGGAGAGAGCCAACGGAAGCTAGCGCTAGGCTCGGATCAACCGCTTCGAGAGGGACGGACTCCTATTCGACCGGAGGCTTCATCGGAAGCTGCGGAAGCTGGTACTGTTCTTCGGCGGTCATCATTGTGTCAGGTGCGGAGCTCTATCGGCAGCACTTCTTCAATTTCGATTGGCAATCACAAGCTTCTAGAGTCTGAAGACTGTTTGTTAGTTTGGCTCTCCTGTGGGCTGCTTCGCTCTTTGATGCTGATCCGAACGACGCCGCGTTTTCTTAGTAGTCAACTCAAAAGTTGGGTGCGACGGCTTGTCATAAGCTGTTTGCTTGTCTTAACAGGTTTTGAAGGGTTGGTTGGCGGTTGAACTCGGAACCTTGTCGCGTTGCGCCGTAAATTCGAGACTTTCCGCACGGTTTGCACTAGTTCCACGGAGGCGGGACTTCTCTACCACGTTTCACTCCCGGCATTGTCTGCATCGCTGGGAAGGGACTTACGATTGTTGAGCAAGGATCAGGGCTTTGTCGCTACGATCTGCTACGCGAGATCGATCTAGGCCGAGTGCCCCTTCCATTCAAGTACATCCATTTAGCTCGGCACTTGCGGCGCGTCTCCAGATAATTCCGCCCGTCGACTGAAAAACCGTAATGCGTCGGCGAATACATTTCCGCACTAGCCGAGAATTCGTCTTTCTGAGTAGCTGAGCAACGGGCAGCAGAGCGTGAGAAGCGGAGCCAACAGTGCACGAGAAGCGGAGGGAGCAGCTGTGCACGAGAAGCGGAGCGAGGGAGCGATTATAGCAGTGGAGCAGCTGAGCAATTCGGCGGGCGGGGGAGGAGCTGTCAGAAACCTTTGCGAGTCGCTCCGCCTTCAGCACAGCGGTTTGTGGCAGGAGAGATTCTGTCGTCGCATCTGTTTTCGCGCCAGATCCTACTTTCGCTTTCATCAAGTTACCGCGCAGTGGAGGAGCTGCAAGAAAGCGCGACGACTTGCATTCCACAGGCGAAGTCAGTGGGAAGTGAGGCGACGAGCGACGAGAACTTCATGCGAAGCTGATTCGAAATGGGCAGCCGTGGTAACACAACGGGCAGGACATACGCGGCACGGTGGAGTTCGGAGGTGCGTGATGCAAGATGCGTTTAGGGTTTCCGCATCAACTTAACAACCTATAAATAGGCTCAAATTGATGGACACCGCTTCCTAAAGCATACCTAATTATTTCCTCTATTTTCCCCTCCAGGAAGACAAGATACTTCTCGAGCATGTGCTCTACAATGGCACGTCGCAATGGGCGTTGCTTCAACAGAGCAATACGTTGGGACGTCATCGAGACAGCAAGGCTTGTTGCAACCGATTTTTGCTCCTAAAAAGGTGAGGAAACATATATGGTGTTTGGCTTTCGTTGGCGCATTATTTCATGCTGTGCAAATAATAATGTTTCCTTGACACATCTTATGCATGTTTTAAAGACATGCTTTTCCTAAATGGGAAAGATAGAAGGAACAGTTATCAACACGTAGCGAGGTTTTTCTCTCCCGGGATAGTTTTTCTGTGCCTTGTACAATCTCTATCTTGGGGTTTGTCCTTACCTTGATGACTGGATTCGGCGACTGTCGACGGTTGACAACTCAATGGACGAAAGAAATTGAAGAAGGAGAGCATGAGGAGACTCTCTGTCTGAATCCCGCTCTTATACTCCTCCCTCACCCAACCATCCGTGCTCCCTTTCTCCTTTCCACCCTCCAGAAAGTTCATCCAAGACGCCAACAAAGCAGACTCCATCGGTAGCACTCCCGGCTCCGGCACTGTTCCCAGCATCATGAGCGGCTGCGGCCTGGGCGGCGGCGTTGACTCGGACGACCCGTTTGACTCAGAGGAGTCGATGATGGACTTCCCTGTGCCGCCCATGCCCGTGCACGAGATCATGCGCTGCCTGCACTCCTCCGCTGCTGAACTGGCTGCCGAAGACGCCGTCCCTGATGCCGGCAACAAGGGCGCCGCTGATGGTGCTGGTAACCCTACTGCCTCTGGTAACCCTACCTCTGACGCGCACGTCCTTGATGCTCCTGCGCATGGCCGAGCTAATGCTGCTGCAAAGGACAAGCAAGATGGAGTGGCATCCTCAACAGGGAAGGCTCAAGGCGCTCCCCTGCTGAGCAGCTCTGCTTCCTGCACCAGTGCCTCTCCCCGAAGCTTCACACATGCTGGAGCAGGGCTGGAGGCAGGACGGGAGACTGACAGCACTCCCATGCTGCCAGCTAACTGCGCCTCTCCTCGAGGCTCCATCCCTGCTGCTGCTGCAGGGCCGGCTTCAGCAGCCTCGTCCACTGATTCGTCGCCGCTTGCAGCGGGTGCTACTACAAAGGCGGGGCAGGTAGCTGAGTCGTCCAGTGATCGGGCGGACAGCAGAAAGTGCCTGGACGAGCACAACAAGGCCATCAGGTATGCCCGCCTGCCTTCTCTCTTCCCTTGCGTAGGTGCCTCCTCAGGGTCTCCATTCAAATGCAAAAAATGGGTGGATTGCAATAAGCTTGGTTGGCTGACTAGTGGCTACTTTAAATGGTATACTAGGTGTTAATCTTAAGAAACCTTGCTTACACAGTTGGCGTTTCCTTGTCTCCTTCTTGTAACCCCCCCCCCCCCCCCCTCCTCCTCCTCCTCCTCCTCCTCCTCCTCCTCCTCCTCCTCCTCCTCCTCCTCCTCCTCCTCCTCCTCCTCCTCCTCCTCCTCCTCCTCCGCTTATTGCGTCGTAAGCAAGAGCATTATCTCTAAACCCTGTTGCATGTTTCCTACTGTTTTCCCACCCCATCCCTCCTATCACAGTTGGTGCATGCTCGTGTTCGCCCATGCCAAGCGGTGGCGGGAGCAGAAGCAGAAGCGGCAGCTGGGTGCAGCCAAAGCAGGAAGGCCGAAGTCAAAGAAAGCACGGCACAGGCAGCATGAACAACAGCAGCAGCCGCAACCGAAGCATCCACCACTCCAGCAGCAGCAGCAGCAGCAGCAGCAGCAGCAGCAGCAGCAGCAGCAGCAGCAGCAGCTGCAGCCGCAGGGCCCACTACAGGTGCCACCACCAGTGGCACCCCTGGTGCAACAGACGACACCACATCAGGTGTTGCTTCAGGTGCCACAGCATGCGCTGGGTGTCACACAGCAAGCATGCCCCCACTCTCACCCTCCTCTTCTGAACATCAACCAGCATTGCCAGTGTCCCGCAATCCTTGTGACCCACCCTCCCACCCCCCACCCTCAGTTCTTCTGTTCCCATCCCACTGCCCCTCACACTGCTCCTCTCACTTCTCCTCCCACTGCCCCTCACACTGCTCCTCACACTGCCCCTCGCACTGCCCTTCACACTGCCCCTCACACTACCCCGCCCTCTGTTCTCCACCCCCCTCCACAACCTCCTTCCCTTCAGCCCTCCCCAGTGTCACGCCACCACCCGTGTTACACTCCCAAGCACCAGCCAAACCCTTGTTCAGACCCACAGTGTACTTGCGATACTCCTCTCCACCCATCTCCTGCACTTCTAACCTACCCAGAACCATCAGAACCGCACGCTTCTTGGTGTACTACAACTACCCTGCAAACACCTGCTGCAGATTTTCCATGCCCATTTCCCGTCCCTCATTGCACGTCCTCCATCCCTCCATCATCACAATACCGAGATACGTTTCTGCACAGCAGCCCAGCAGTGGAGGAAACCACAGGATACCTGACTCTCTTGCAAACTCCTGAAGCTGAATCACCTGATAGCCACGTGCTACAGCAGAGGGGATTCTGTACCGCACAAAACCAACGGCGCGGATCTGCTTATCAACAAGAGTCGTATCTCCAATCAACAACCCAGGGGAACAGTTGTTCCGTGGTCTTGTATGACACACAGGTGAAATCCGAAGGGCAGTCCTGGCTGCAACAAGTAGAGCTCGGTTGGGAGGTGCAGCAGCTGCATGAGGCGTGGGAGGAAGCTTCTGAGTCGCCTCTCGGGCGGGTAGCGCAAAGCCGAGAGGAGGGATGTTGGCAGCAACAGGCAGAGTCGCAGTGGCAGGCTCAGAAGGAACAGCACGAGGCACAGCAGCAGACACAGCACGAGGCACAGCAGCAGACACAGCACGCGGCACAGCAGCAGACACAACACGAGGCACAGCAGCAGACACAGCACGAGGCACAGCAGCAGACACAGCACGAGGCACAGCAGCAGACACAGCACGAGGCACAGCAGCAGACACAGCACGAGGCACAGCAGCAGACACAGCACGAGGCACAGCAGCAGACACAGCACGAGGCACAGAAGCAGACACAGCACGAGGCACAGCAGCAGACACAGCACGAGGCACAGCAGCAGACACAGCAGCCCACACATGGCCACGATTCAGTTCTGGTTGACCCTTCCTCTGCCTTCCCTGTGAACCCTTTCACTTCCCCACATCCTTCCCCTCTTGGAGAAACCTTCCCTCTGTCGTCAGTCTCTGACCTCAAGCCCTGCAGCCGGGCCCTCATCTCTGCTGCGCTGCATCATGACATGCTCGAGACGGGTAATCAGCTTGCTGGGTCTGGTGGGAGCAGCGTGGGAGAGAGTGAGTGGAGCATGCATGATGAGGTGGGGAAAGAGGGTTTTTTGGAGGAGATTGGACTCAGTAAGGCGCAACTCAGTAAGGTACATAGTGCGGATGGGAGTGAGAGCACCAGCTGCTTCATGCATTTCGACGATTTTCTGGGCACAAGCCCGGGCAGGGATGCATGCGGTGGCAGACCGGAGCATGAAGGCAAAGAGAGGCTTCAGAGTGCTCACTGGTGGGATGATCTCTTTCCAGAACTGCTGTAGGTAGTTCTTGAGGCTCATAATGATAGTACCCTGAAGCCGTAAAGCTTGAGACATCACCATGTTTTCCTCCCTATCGGGTGATGCTTACGTGCCAGGGACTCAGAAGTAAGCGAAAAACGGCTGATTAGGGGTAAAAAGGCTGAGTTTTCAGTGCTGGGGAGAAAGTGGGGCTGATTTGTCAGCTTTTATTTAATGGGCTGATTTTTCAGCATTTTTTTCATTAAATGGGCTGATATTTCAGAGTTTTTTCAGAGGTCTACACTGACTGACCAGCGTTGTAACGGGGTGTGGGCTGAAATCCCACAAATGGAGGTTCGTGAAGGTGCCGAGAATGCCGGATGTCTAGGTTCTCCAGACCTGAAATTTCAATCGCCACTGAAATACAGCCATAAATGAGCGTGAACCCTCAAGTAACACAGCCCCACCACGCTCACGTTCGGATAGGTCTCTCAGTTTCAGCCACAACTCCTCAACCTCATACCTAAATAGGGCCAACATCATAGACATGCAAATCAGTCTGGTAACCCTATTCGATGGTATGCAAAACCGTCGATACCCCAGTACTGCTGCGCAAGTTTGTCTGGTACCGCCACTCAAAACACTGTGTAATGGCTGACACAGAACAAAAACAAAGAAATATGTAATACAGGTGGTTGCGTCATCGATTTCGTAAAATTGTGTTTCTTACGGCGCTCCGTTCGGCGCCAAACAAAGATTCCTGCGGGCGACTTTTTTCCTCGAAATGTACACGATAAATTCAACGGAAATGCGGGGTCCATTTTGTAGCAATACATTTCACCTAATATATTGCTACGCGGGAATTGTTGGGGCAACGTGGATAAAAAATAAAACCCCTAAGGACCTGGACACCTTTCCGGTATGGATGAACCCTAAACACGGGAAAGGGCATTGTTTTTAGGGTTGATGCCTCCCTGAATCGCATCCCTTTTCGATCGGGTTTTATTTTTTTTGGGTCAGGTGTAGTGCACAATGTTGTTGATCTGGCAGAAACAGTCGCCGTAAGAAATCATAGCCTATTGCAAAAACAAGCCCGCTATGCATCAATAAATAAAAACAAACGCGTTACCAGAGCAACATGTAAATACCTTTAAAAATGAGGTAAGACGGTTTTGCATACCATTGCATAGGGTTACCAGAATGTGTTGCATGTATATGATGTTGGCCCGTAAGAAACACAATTTTATGAAATCGATGACGCAACCACCTGTATTACATATTTCTTTGTTTTTGTTCTGTGTCAGCCGTTACACAGTGTTTTGAGTGGCGGAACCAGACAAACTTGCGCAGCAGAACTGGGGTATCGACGGTTTTGCATACCATCGCATAGGGTTACCAGACCGTTTTGCATGTCTATGATGTTGGCCCATGTTGGCCCCCACTGAAACACGAACAATCTGACATGATTGGCAAGATGAAATTTTGTACAGCCACATCAGCATGGAGATATTCGTCACCCTCCAAAACCTGACTCAACAAGCGCGGGAGGGACACACATACGGAGTGAAAATGGAGGGAGTTTTTTTCATCCGTCCAATTTGGGCCAACATCATAGACATGCAAATTAGTCTGGTAACCCTATTCGATTGTATGCAAAACCGTCGATACCTCAGTATTAGAGGTAACAACGTGTCGCTCTATTACTGCGTTTTTATTAAACAAACGTTTTGGCTTTTACCACGCTGAGTTTTGCGCGGAACTATAATTTCTTCAAACGACTGTTCTGCCAGATATGCACGACTGTTCAATACAACTGACCCAATAAAAATTTAAAACCCAATCGGAAAGGGATGCGACTCGGAAAGGCATCAAACCTAAGAACAATGACATTTCTCGTGTTTAGGGTTGATCCCTCCCAGAAATGCGTCCAGTTCTCAAGGGGTTTTATATTTTTTTCTGCCTGCCCTAACAATTCCCTGTGGCGTCGTCAACAATATATCGTTATAAAATGGACCCGGTATACTTTCATTTTAATGAAAATTCTCCGCAAAATGTTGTCAAACATATGTGCTGCATACTGTCTAGGCTGTAGTGGGGTAGCCCATATGGGGTACAACCCAAATTAGGGTTTACTACTTGTACTCCTGCATGCTGCTAGTTCACTCATTCCTGCCTGTTCATTCTGACATGGTATCAGAGCAGGTCCTTTGCTAGGACCGCTCCTAGGGCCCACCGCTACCTACCTACCTATCGTGCGCCCTCGTGCGCCCTCGTGCGCCCTCGTGCGCCCTCGTGCGCCTCTCACTACCGAGCGCCCTCGTGCGCCTTCGCGCCCTCGTGCGCCCCTACCTACCGCGCGCCCTCGTGCGCCTTAGCGCCCTCGTGCGCCTCTACCTACCGCGCGCCCTCGTGCGCCTCTACCTACCGCGCGCACGCAGCCCGCTAGCCACCCGCGCGCGGCTCGTTTTTAACGCGCGCGACTCGCTAGCCGCCCGTGCGCGGCCGATTTTTCGCGCGCGCGCCTCGCTAGCCGCCCGCGCGCGGCCGATTCTTCGCGCGCGTGACCCGCTAGCCGCCCGCGCGCGATCCCTCAGCCGCCCCTTCGCGGCTTCGACTTCGTCTGCAGCAGCTGCCGCCACCGAACCTGCAGCAGCAGCCGCCGCCGACCTGCAGCAGCTGCCGCCGCCGAGCCTGCAGCAGCAGCCGCCGCCGACCTGCAGCAGCTGCCGCCGCCGAGCCTGCAGCAGCAGCCGCCGCTCGACCTGCAGCAGCTGCCGCCGCCGAGCCTGCAGCAGCAGCCGCCGCTCGACCTGCAGCAGCTGCCGCCGCCGAGCTTGCAGCAGCAGCCGCCGCTCGACCTGCAGCAGCTGCAGCAGCCGAGCCTGCAGCAGCAGCTGCCGCCGACCCTGCAGCAGCAGCCGCCGCCGAGCCTACAGCAGCGGCCGCCGCCGAGCCTGCAGCAGCAGCCGCCGCTCGACCTGCAGCAGCTGCCGCCGCCGAGCCTGCAGCAGCAGCCGCCGCTCGACCTGCAGCAGCTGCCGCCGCCGAGCTTGCAGCAGCAGCCGCCGCTCGACCTGCAGCAGCTGCAGCAGCCGAGCCTGCAGCAGCAGCCGCCACCGACCCTGCAGCAGCAGCCGCCGCCGAGCCTACAGCAGCGGCCGCCGCCGACCCTACAGCAGCAGCCGCCGCTCGACCTGCAGCAGCTGCCGCCGCCGAGCCTACAGCAGCGGCCGCCACAGACCCTGCAGCAGCTGCCGCGGAGCTCCCTGCTACGACCTGGCCCCGCCCCGCTGTTGCAGCGGCCACGCTGTCGCCACTGTCTTGCGCCCGCCGCACCAACCACTGGTGAGCTTTGCCGTGCTAGCACTGCTACCGTTACTGCTGCTGCTACTGCCTTTACTGCTCCTGCTGTTGCTGCCGCTACTGCTGCTGCTCCTGACGTGGCCAGATGCAGCTCCAGCAGGCTCGTGAGTGGTACGCCGGCTTGGGCAGTCGGGGTGGCCGTAGTGGTAGTCGCTCTGGAGTGCGTCGTTCGGGAGCCTCTGGTAGTAGACCGGTGCAGCAGACGTGCCCTCTTCTGCTCCAGCAGGCTCGTGAGTGGTACGCCGGTTTGGGCAGTCGGGGTGGCCGGCGTGGTAGTCGCTCTGGCGTGCGTCGTTCGGGAGCCCCTGGTAGTGGACAGGTGCAGCAGCCGTGCCCTCTTCTGGTCCAGCAGGCTCGTGAGTGGTACGCCGGTTTGAGCAGTCGGGGTGGCCGTAGTGGTAGTCGCTCTGGCGTCCGTCGTTCGGGAGCCTCAGGTAGTGGACAGGTGCAGCAGCCGTGCCCTCTTCTGCTCCAGCAGGCTCGTGAGTGGTACGCAGGTTTGAGCAGTCGGGGTGGCCGTAGTGGTAGTCGCTCTGTGAGTGAGGCAGCCGCTCTCGGTGCCAGTACGTCTGTTGCCCTCGGTGCAGGTGAGGCTACCACTCCCGGTACTCGCGTGTCTGCTACTCCAGGTGCTGGTGAGCCTACTACTCTAGGTGCTAGTGCGTCTGCTGCTCCAGGTGCTCGCGTGTCTGCTACCCCAGGTGATGGTGAGGCTGCTGCCCTAGGTGCTAGTGCATCTGTGCCCCCTGGTACTGAGTCGACTGCAGCACTGCACACCTTCACCCTGGACTCAGGTGCTTCTCGCTCTTTCTTTCGTGACCGCACTGTCCTTGAGCCACTCGCTCGGCCAGTTGCTGTCTCCCTTGCTGACCCCTCTGGGGGTCCGGTCATTGCGACCTCCTCCACTGTCCTTCCTTGTCCTGCGGTCCCGTCCGGCACACTGTCAGGTCTCTACCTCCCCTCGTTCTCTACGAACTTGGTGGCGGGTTGTGCGCTCCAGGACTCGGGTGTTCACCAGTTCACCCCTGCCTACGAGCGCGTGACACACTGCACGTGTGCTCGGACGGGTCGCCACCTGGCTACTTTCACTCGAGAGCCGGGGTCGGACCTGTACACACTGACCACTGAGTCCCCTCAGGTAGCTGCGTCTGCGTCTACGTCTGCGTCTGCGTCAGGTCAGCTGTCCGCCCCCTGCTCGTGTCGCTCTCTGGCGCATGAGACTGTCCTTTGGCACCACCGCCTTGGTCACCCGTCTGTGCAGCGCCTTCGGGCCATGCACAAACGGGACCTTGTTGCTGGTCTTCCCAGGGTGCTCCCTCCCCTTCCCGACTCACCTGCTCCTCCCTGTCTTCCCTGTGTCGAGGGGCGGCAGCGCGCCGCTCCTCACTCCTCCTCCTTTCCCCCGACGACTGCTCCTTTGCAGACACTCCACATGGACGTGTGGGGCCCAGCCCGCGTCCGTGGTCAGGGTCAGGAGAGGTACTTCCTGATTGTTGTTGACGACTTCTCGCGCTACACCACGGTCTTCCCCTTGCGCACCAAGGGTGACGTCCCTGATGTCTTGATCCCTTGGATCCGCAGATCTCGTCTCCAGCTTAGTGAGCGTTTCCGCTCCGACTTCCTTGTCCTGCGTCTGCACTCTGACAGAGGTGGAGAGTTTTCCTCTGGCCTCTTGGAGG